TTTTGAAGGGAAGCAATATAGTGGGTGGGTGGGTGGCTGGGTGGGTTTGGGTGCGTGGGCGGGTTTGGGTGGGTCTGGGTGGGTGGCGCACACTTAGTGACACCCTACATCCTTTCCGGTGCTTTGATTTGATGAGGTTTCAATCCTAATAGGCCCCGAGGCCAGAACACTTCCCCCAGTACCCGAAATCTTTAACACTATCCTGGATCTGCCTTGGCTCTCTGCAGACAAAAGCAGTGCCAAGATGCTTCAGATGTGTGCCACTTGTTACTTTTTTCCGGATGTTGCTGTGTTGTGTTTTCTACGTTTCGACTTTTTGACTTTTCGACTTTTCGCGTTTTGCCGTACTGTTCGACTTTTCGCGGCTTTTCGGCTTTTTGCTGTCGTGTGTACTTTTCGACTTTTCGCTGCAATGGTTTACTTTTCAAGACTTTTTTGACTTTTCGAGTTTTCTACTTTTCGCGCAAAATCTTTTGTTTACCATGTTTCGACTTTTCGCTCTTAGGCTTTTCGCGTGCAGTTTGGCATTCTCCATCTATCCACGCCCACAGCCGCTCGCAAGCACAGCACAATCAGTGGGTATCATCGAAAGGCAACCCAGTTGAATCCGCTTTACGACAACTACAGAAATTTTGCAGAGGGACAGCTTACAAAAGATTCGCTTGAAAACGAAGAAGAGATTTCCTAAATAGCTAAAGCAATTTGAAGAAATATTCATACTATAAAGTAAATGGTTGCTATCTACTCTGTTGGCAATGATGGAACTAAAACCACAATAAACGAATTAAAACCGCAATAAACGACGATTTGTTTGACATGCTCCGGAATTCGTTTGAGAGTGATGATGCTTCTACAACTGATAGTGACAGCTCGGAGATCATCAAGAAAGAGAACAGGAAAGTTTATAGCGATAGGTTAAATGCAAAGAATACAAATGAGGGTTATTTTAATGAATACTTCAAGAGGAACAACAAAGGTTATGAGTGCGAAAGGTGCGGTAAAACCATCAGTAGCGCAAGCAGTAAAACCAAGCATCAGAATACTGGAAGATGTAAAAGGATGCATGAAGATAGGAAACGGAAGGAGATAGAGGATAAGATCATTCTGAAGGTGCACGGTTAATACTAATTAAGTATCTAGCTATTATTAATTATGAGTGCTAATGAGATTCTGGAGAAAATGCATTATGATCTTGAGCGGGGCTATGGAAGTGTTAGACGTTTGTAGGAGGAACCCAGCAAGGATGGGGCAGGTGTCACTTTGCGGTATGTTAACGATTGGGTGAAGAAACAGGGCGGAATTAGAAGAATTCTAATAGCTATTCTCCACCTTATGCCAGGACAGTTTTTAGTGTTAATATGATGGATATGGCAAGCTTGATGAAAGGCACAGGTACCTTTAAGGAAGACTATAGAAGATATGCTTTCTTATGTATTGGTAATCTTAGTAAGAAGGCACGCAACGCTCCTATGGAGAATAGGGACGGTGAGGCCGTGTATGATGCATTTATTGGGTGGTTTAAAGCTCTGGGTTATCCTAACAGTATTTATTCAGATGATGACGGAGCCTTTGATTATAAGAAGCTTCAGGATTTCTTAAAAGGGGAAGGTATTCAACATATCGTTAACTTCACTCACGCAAATGTAGCAAAGAGAGCCATTAGGACGATTAAGAAGATGATCAGCGACAGGGCTTTGGTGACTGAAGGGGCTTGGACGATCGTATTGAAACCTGCATTGGATAAGAACAATAAAGCAATGAAGCATTCAACGACTGGACTGACTCCAAAAGAAGCACATAAAGACGACAATCATATTACAGTGAAGTCTAACTCTGTATTGAAGGAAAAATATTTACGCAAGTATCCTAAGGTAGAAGTCGGGGATAAAGTTAGAATTTCTGTTAAAAGTAAGGGCAACTGTACAAGTCGTAGTGAAAGTGGGAATCAAAGTGAGAGAACTTATGAGGTTAAGGAGGTAGGCAGAGACGGACCGCTAAACAACACTTTATATTGGATGCAATGAATAAAAATTTAACAGACACGAAATTTTGTCAGTTGATCATTAAACTACTTGACAACAAGATACTATAATGTATTAGGCTAAGATTTGGACTCAGATAAGGCATTCACCAACAAAAAACCGTATTCTTCCTATGAGTTTATGTAGGACTTCTGGACAGCGCGAAGCAATGAGACCACAGAGGAGATACGGAGTTTAAAATGTATTACTTACTGATGTATTCTGAATATGGGCATACTAATCATAAACCTTCTAAAAGACATTTATGAAAACATTGAAGATACTGAAATAATCAAGAAGAGCGGTGATGGACTAGTTGCAAATCAAAGAATGGAATACAACGCTAAGGCATTCCTTGAAGTTTTAACTTATCCAATGAAAGAAGAAGCTATAACCAAATTCGAAAAACAAGATATGGTATCTGTACTGAAGTTACAACTACAACAAGGATGGGACGGAGTGGGTGAATGAATGATTGTGCCTTAAAGCAATCATAATATTATTCTTATAATGAAAGGATGGAACACCTAACAGCCTGTAGAAAACGTTGTTCAAGATTTGGTCGGAGACGCGCGGATGAGTTTGCTGAGCAAGCTGCAGAACTATGTAGCGTGTGTATTAGTGGGGCTTGCGCCTAGCAACTTCGTTCTACGTGTCTGCGAATTCGGATGGTGGAACACTTTGAACAAGGTTGAAGCGTATAGGGAAATGAACAAAGACAACATTAAGAGATTAGCGTGAAAAGAATAGGGAAGAGCTTGCTTCAAAAAATGATGAATATCGTCTCGTTATAAGGAAGACAGAAAACTGAAAAGTCTTTAGTTGTTCATTGCGATGTTTGTCATTGTGATGTTCGGAGGTGCAAGTTTGCCAATCATCAGTAATCTTAAAAAAATCTGGAGAGCTTGAAAACGAAGGAGGGCGGTTAGTTCATATTCTGATGATATAAAATGACAGAATTCGATGGGTTTGGGTACAGGCAGTTGAACCATACGCGTGAAAGATGCTAATTAGTTGCCCACACGCCCACTCCCTGTGCCGCTGCTACAGGGGAGACCGGGGAGAACCATCACAACTTATGTTTCCAGCTCCTTTACCCTTTCAAACTATCATCTAGTTACTTAGTAGCGCCAGCATTCTGGAATCTTCAAGAGGACACTGCAAAAAGAGACCTTTCGGTCGGTACGACCTTTCGGTCGGGCCCGCGCATGAGGGCCCGACGTTTAGGATCTCCACGTCGAAGCCCGCACACTTGTCCAATGCGTGAAACGTGGCTGCTACTGGCAGCTGATTTGCAAAAGAAAATGCAGTCATGGGCTAGAACATGGTCAGCCTGCACAGAGAACCATGTCTAAAGTCATCATTGATGGCTTTCTTTGGGTTTTTGGCCCCTCCTGGTCCCAATCAAGCCAAAATGGGGTCCCAATTGTGCAGCTGATGTTCCTGTACGAGGCGCGCGTGCCTCCTACAGAAGCATCATCAGCAATTGGGCACCCATTTTGGCGCGATTGGGACCAGGATGGTCAAAGGCTCAAGACAAGCTATCAAAGTACGAGGGCGGCAGGGCCGGCCTCTGCCGCTAGGCATAAAATAATACCCCCGAAGTAGATAGAATATGTCAGACTAAGATCCCCATATAACCCATATTCGATCTACTTAAGCCTACTACTCCGCTCCAGCAGCTCCTGCGATTGATGCTGATACTGATGCTGCTACTTCTATTGCTCATGTTTGCCACACTACTGCTGCTGCTCTGCTGCTACAGCTGCTACCGTTGCTGCTAGCGCTGTTACGGCCAACACTATTATACCTGCCGCTGCTACTGCTACTGAACTTGTGGAATATTATTACTACTGTTACTCCTTCTGCTCCTCCTGCTGCTGCTGCTGCTCCAGCTCCGGCTCCAGGTGCTGCTGGAGCTGCTGATGCATCTGCTATTCCTTCTACTGATCTACTCCTGCTGCTGTGATGACAACGTTGATTACCAAACAAACACCACCACAGCGATTACTGCTACTCTGCTACTCCTTCTTCTGGCCCTCCTACTTTACTACCATTACCACAACAACTTCTACCACCACCAACAAGCCCTGCAACCATAGCCGAGTTTGGAACTGCAAAGAAGCCCCACTCTGGGTGCGTGATCATGACGTGGCTATCCTGCCAAATTGAGACATGCCAGGGCTGCATGCGCGACATACAAGCTCACAACTCACAACCTCCATGTTGCTGCGCCAGCCATTCATCTCGCAGGCAGCGACACGAAAGCCCTTGGACCACCGCTCTTCAACCTGGGTATGTGGACGTTTCGAACCATGGGTTTCCCCCTCCGGAGTCACCACAAGGCGTTAATCCTTGCGCAAGAAGGCACCCACAATTTTGGAGCCCCCCTGTCTTTTTCAAATGAGCTGGTAGTACTCATCAGCAGCTTAGCTCCTTGCCACAGTGGACTCTACCGCCTTAGGTAGCATTGCCTTGGCAGGGTTCAGCACATGACATAGCTGCTACAAGTTCACATGGAGGTTGTAAGGCTCCATCCCCCATGCTGGCAGAGTCACAAGCCTGGAGCACGGCTTAGCAAGGGTTATCAAAATCACTGGAGGCGCCACTTTCGCCATGCTTTACCTGGCAGCAACGCCAGCGCCGGAAGAGCGGTCAAGTGTGCTTCATTTGGACTTGCTACTGCGAACCCCAACTGCCCATCCTGCTCCTAGCCTTGACAGACAACTCAAAAAAACTTGCTATCCTGCTTGTCCACGCTCTGCTGGAAGGCTGTCTGAGGTTGGCTGATAGTGGTGCGAAATGCATCGAAGAATCTGACTCAATACCTCAATGATTTTCATCATGCCCATTTGAGCCAACTGCTGGATCGTCAGCACAGGATTCAAGGCTGGGAGATACAGAAAGATTCCTATTCCAAAATTGTAACCTGCCTTATGACATCATCGAGGTCAGACCAGACACTGTACCAGCATCAGCCTCTGCTCTTGTTCACGACTGCCGCAGCCACGACCGACATAAGGGAGTCCTGTGAAGACTTCCCGAAGAAAGGTTATAACTTGCCCGAAAGTACAGGGGAAGCTCACCGGAGGCATACATGAAACAGGCCGGCGAGTCATTTCGGGAACCGGCCCCTGCATATCCCCAGACCTTGTATGGACCATTTGCATGCGGGCATGACTAGGACAGAGAACAGCTATTTGCAAAGCTTGTGATGAACAACGGCATGGCCAAAGTGGACCTGGAAAAGAGTAAAAGTCAGAATGCCCACATTTGAGCCATCAGAAAGGCCAAGTTTTCTAAGGTGCCCGACCATGCGAGCAAGATAGCGAGGCTGCATCCTCAGGCTGAAGTGTTTTTCATTGTAAGATCCGGAAAGCTACCTACGAATATGATGATTGCTAATATTACTACGATTACTACTACTATTACTATATTATTACTATTGTTACAATTAGTACTATTATTACTATTATTACTATTATTACTATTATTACTATTATTACTATTATTACTATTATTACTATTATTACTATTATTACTATTATTACTATTATTTCTATTATTACTATTTTTATCT